CAATTGATAATATTGTCGTACACGATGCACACGATCGGATATGTACTTGCAAGATCTCTTCAACAAAGTTACGCATACGTCGTTAATTATTTACAGGCAACTTACACGCTAAATATGCTTATACAGTCGTAAAACTTATAATATATGAACATCCAAGAATTAAAGAACGCGTGTATAAATACTTTCTCTTATCTAAATTGCGTATAACGCGTCTGTGTAAAAGTAATCGAATCACACGAGCTGTCCTCGTTTTTATAGGTCATCATCGTTAATTAAATAATCTCGACGGATGAATTTTTGTTTAAAAAAAATATTTCAACTCACGTTTAACGTTGCAACGTGACATTTTCTCGACTTTTTCTTTTTTTTTTTCTTTCCTTTTTTTTTTCTTTTCTTTTCTTCTTTTTTTTTTTAAACAAGAAATTTTTCATATATTTACAATAAAAATTATGCAGCAAATGTTAAAAAAATTATTATTCGAGAGCAAATTTTTTTTTTTTTTCGCAATGCTAAGAATTCTTTCTGTGGACGGACATCTTTCGATGATGCTTTTGCTTTATAGAATTAATCCTACTATGATATAATAATAATAATTGGTAGTAGACGATTCTACTAGTTCACGATTCGCCAAACACGATGCTTGACGATTGTTTTCCAGATTATTTTTCAAATTTGTTCAAATTAAAAATTTGTCTCGTTGTGCATGCCCAATTTTATTTCAAAATTTTATTTTCGGACGAAAATTCAAGAAAAGTACAACAGTTTCTCGCGAATAAATAACTCTCGCGATAATTCTTTCGCGGTTATGTATCCGCGAGAAATTTCGTCGTGAATTTTCGTCGGGATTTCGACAAATTTGAAAAATACTCCGACAACATTCACGCGAACGCGTGTTAAGTGTTATTTATTACAGTTCGTTCGTATCTCGTCGTTAAATGTAAAAGTTATATACAAAACGTTGTATATACGAAGAAATACAAATTCGCTTAATTCCGTGTTTTCTCGCAATCTTCGTTCTTTAAACGCAGAATTCGTATTGTGACGAACGAAAGGAAGGTTTCTTCTATCACGAGGAAGGTATCGAAAGAAACTCGTTTGTACACGGACAGGTATATGTCGTTGTTTCTCTCTGTAACGAACGACATTGTAAAAACTGTCACCAAAGTGATTCATTGGGTCACGATCCACGCAAAAGAGCAATGACACTTCTAAACATCCACTAAAAAAACTAATTGTACACTAATTGTGCGTTTCTTAAATGGTCGTCGAAGTTGTCAACGTGGACATGACGCACGGAATCGTTGGTTTATTTACGAGTGTGTGTATGTGTGTGTGTATGCGCGTGTATATATATATATATATCTGTATCTGTATAATTGTATAATTGCAAGAAACATTTTCGCGAAAAACACGTTGCCTAAACAAGAGTTGCTCGAGAATCTTCGAAACTCGTTCGTAAACGTCGATGATCGGTCGAACAACGATCGATGTAAAAATATAATACGATCGAGGATAATCGTATATACGATTTACATTTTTCGATCGTTTTCTAATCGCCGATGATCGTCGATACGCGATTCGAGAGAGGAAGAATCGAGCCAGCGTCTTCTAACGTATTTTATATATACATATATATTAAGTAACAAAGGCACAAGTGATCACAGAAAGAAGGATAACTAACGATTCAACCTTCCTTCGCGGTACACGGTTATTAATTAACAAACGGTACAAAGTGTTCAACCACTTCGAAGCGAGTTCTTTGGTTCGTATCTTGTACGAAACATACAAAATATGCGGACTTAAAGAAGGTGCGCATATATACGACTTCGTATTATCGGTCCATGTGTAATCACACCGACGTACCGACATAACCCGGCATCTCCCTCCCTCCCTCCCCCCCTCCCCGAACAACGACGAAGAAAAACAATTGTTAATTGTTCTTCGAACCTCGCGTACATACATATTCGACGAGATCGACGATCAGTCGAAAGTTTGAAATCCATCTTATTTTAAAAGTTTTTTAACTCCTCCGTAACTCCCAGTTCTTTTCTTTTCTATTTTTTTATACTCGATTCGAAGACGAAAGAAAAGGGATTGATTCACGATCGACGGGACGAGAAGAGATCACGATGAAATTTGGACGACGCGGAGGCACGTTTACCGGTAAGAAAAACGGTGAAATAAAAAAAATCTAAATCTTAGCCAACGATTTTCAACAAACTTGTCTAGGATCTAAGAAACTATAACTCTTCAGCTGATGAGATCCCCGTTCTTGCGAAGCATCTCGAGGTGTAGCTCGTACTCCCTGGCCTTGAGTCTGAGGGAGGCGATGCTGTTGGTCCGTCTGTCGATGTCGGGCAGCCCCACGGTGGCTGTGGGCGAGCCCTGGGGCGAGGTGGCGGTCGGCGGAGGCGGCGGGACCTGCGGATGCGGCAGGCCGATCGCAGGCGCCGGCGGGGGCGGGGGTGGCGGCGAGCCGCGGACCAATTTCGGCCGCTGGGCCGCCGATATGTTGGCCAGCAGGCTTTGAAAGGACGCCGCCGACGTGTAGGGCAGAGGCATCCCGGGTGGTAGCAAAGGTGGCGGCGCCCGATGATAGGGATGAGCGGTGTAACTACCGGGGAGGACCGGCCCGTGACCCAGAGGTGGGTAACGAAACGCGTCGAACGGTTTCCGCAGGGCAAACGTGCCCAGGTGGGCGAAAGGGTTGGGCAAGGTCGGCGCGACGACCGCCGATGCTGGTGGCGCACTCGATCCCAAGTACGGATTGTACGGATGTGCCTGGGGCCCGACCTTCTCCTGCTTCCGCCACTTTGCGCGTCGATTCTGAAACCAAACCTGTAACCAAACCACCCTGTATTATTTATCTTTCTCTCTTCTTCCTTCCTTCCTTCCTCACCTCTCGTCCATCGCGCAAAGCTGTGTGTGTGTGTGTGTGTGTGTGTGTGTGTATACCGAGGTAATAATCATCACTTTTCCGCTTCTGCGTACGCCTATTTTTGGAATATCGTTCGAGGAAAGGCGAAGGACGAGGAGAGGACGATTGAGGATTTCGAGAAACCGATCGATCCGGGTCGGGGAGCGAATATAATGTATAGCGCTTTTGTTTCTCTGGAAGTTGTTGGAACTGTGCAAGTGCGAATTCTGGTTAACGCGACGCGTTTCTCCTTCTCTCAGGAAACTGGCGGTGTATCATTATCGGCGAGGATGGAAGGAAGCCGAAGAAGATCGTTGCAGAGGCAGATCTTTCTTCCTTCGTCTATATACCTGGTTGTCTTTATTTTTCTCTTTGAAAAATCAACCAGAAATATCGATAAGTAAAACCGTTACTCGCCATTCTTTTGGCCCACTTTTACAACCACGTTCACAGAAATTACGAAAAGATTAGATTTTCTCCTCTCCTCTTCCAGATTCTCTTTTCACGAGAGCGACGAGAATCGAATCAAATTCTTGTATCGGTTACTTGAATAGGAAAGGGTGGTTTCAGGGATTTATCGAAACGAGACGAACACTCGTTCGTGATGCGTCCACCATTCGAACGCATTCCATCGCGAAAGTTCCTCGAAAACACTTCTCGAGCTCTAATCAGTTCAACGGAAGCTCTCCTCCCTTTCTCCTTTCTCTTTTTCCCCTCCCGTTTCGTTTCTTTAACGGACTTTAATTCCTCGTTTTCGGTTGTTGGGTCGATTTCGTTTCGTGGTTGAGACACGAAAACGAAACCCGCGTATATATACTTGGATTTCACGTTATCGTCGAGAGAAGATTTCTCGCGGAGAAGACGAACGATTCCACTCCAACAAATTGCTTTCATATATCTCGTGACAGAGCGTAATGACGACAATCCAACTTGGTTCAATAACCGCAAGCTTTGTCGTTAAACATCTGCTCGTTTCTGGAAGAAGATATCCCCCTCTCCCCCCCCCCCCTTCAAAAAGGAAAAAAGAAAAAGAAAGAACCTCGTACACGGTACGTTTCGTAATACAAGGATTCAAGGTTTGAGCGGAGAAAAGATTTTTAGAAAGTAATTTGTCTCGAAAGACAGTTTTATAGGCTCAGCGACACGCGACAAATTACCTTCCTAGGATCGTTCTCGAGATCGGAATATATACGTTTTCGTTTCGCGATATCTTTTTTTAGATGCTG